GCTCCTTAAAGATTTAGCACCTTGAAAACCCTATAGGGCAGTTCTGTTCCACCCTGTAGGATTGCTGTGAGTCAGAAAAGACTCAGTGGTAACATGTTTTTTCAATAGCTGTTTAAACCCATGTTTTCTTTATACCACCAGTAAGCACAGCTTTGGCTCATGTCCTCCACTCATCTATATTGACATGTTCCTAAGGAATGCACACAATTCCCAGTATTGGCCAGGTTAAAATTATATAAAAACGCACCAAAAATGTTACTGTTCATTACAAAAGCCATAAAGAAATAACTTTTTAAATAATCCATTGTTTAAAAAGTTTACTGCTTTGGTTTTTAAGAGTTTTACTTGCTTTTAGATTATGGCAGTTAACCTGCCCAAGGGAAAATGATACATAGCTATTAGATTTTAGGGCTGGATAATAGCCTAAGGAGTATAAGAGTTGAGAAAACATGCATACATAGGCAGTTACACTGTTACGAACTTGTTTTCTCTAACATGACAAAGCAGGGGGATTGGGGACATAGATGGGAAACATTATTTCATGGTATTTATTTTAATAAGCAGGTGTCTTCTGTATTCTTGGGTTTAGAATACTGGGCATGTTTTTGAGATACGTGACTGTGTTTTCAGATTTTGTTCTTACCATTTTAATGTTGCAGTTTCTGACAACTTCTCAGCGGCTTCTCCGGGTGGAGTGCTAATGACAGTTTTCTTTCTCCATAAAGGGGAATCAGATCCTCAGTGGCCTCTCCATTGAAGAATATAAGACCACATTGAGAATAATCAAGCAAGCAATTTTAGCTACAGACCTTGCACTATACATTAAGTAAGTTTTAAGAATATCCTGAGATCAATAAATAAGTTTTGGAAGTGTTAGCATTGTTTCAAACTTTTGGAATCCACAATGGGGACTTTTTTTGGAATATAATAAGGGCAAAATACCTTGGTAAAGCTATTTATCAGACTATGGAATAGTTTCTTCAAAAAAAGCCAGAAATGCCTACTTCTTTGGCTTACTTCATGCTAAAAATTACAGAGACCCTCTTATTTCTGATGGTCATCCACTGATACATCCCTTGAGTTATATACAAGCAAATTGCCATCTCAAGGTCTTTCCAAGCAAGTTGTTAGATAGGCCATTTGCTTTTCCTCCTTATCCTTGCCCCATCAGCTTCATACACAATTCCTTTATGCTGTTATCCAAACCTAGGTGAGCAGGGAAAGGAGCTGAAAGACAAACAAGTAACTCTTGTTTCTTTTTTTGTGATTTTACTCAGTTTTTATGTAGAACTTTTTAGTTACTGATTCAAAAACTAGGGTATGCATGAAAGTGATATATATGACATATGCATGTCCATGATTAATCTGCTGCTTTTCTGAAAGCAGAACATATTTTCCTCTATCTGGGCAGGTGTCCTTTTCCAACATACCTGCTGAGACCTTTGGTGCATATGGGGAATGAGGGGAGTCTTACTCGTGGGATTCTCCCATACACAGGTCTGTCCCTGTGTACAGGGATTCACGTCCATGGTTTTAGTCACTTTTACAAGAAGTAAGAACACAGAACAAACTCACAGAGACTCTTTTTTACCCTATAATGTTTTTATGAAATCATGCATTAGACTATAGCAGACATCTGCTATTTTGTTTTCTAAAAGTAAACTGCATGTCTTAGTTAGTGAGTTTTGGAGTAAAACTTAAAAAATTAAAAGATTAAATAGGATAAATAGGATTAAATGGGATAAATGAAAACATAGTAAACTTAAAATTCATTTAGAATGATAGTAGCATAAATGTTGTAATAATTTGAAAACTACATCTAACCACATCTCCTCTCATCTGTCACCCCTAAACCTTTGTGAAACCTAGTATAAGACTTTTCATTTTTGATAACCTAATAACATACAGTCAGTTTTGTTATTTAAGTTTCTCTTATATTTGTCTTGTATTCCCAGCTAGATTTTAAATACTGTGAAAAGAACAATTCTGTCTTATGACTTCCCAGGATACTTTAATATTGAGCACCTAGAACCATTAACTCTATACTGAATGGATGTTAAAATTTACTTGATTTTTTTTTCTTTTGCTTCAGTGCATTTAACAACTTTATACTGATAAAGAGTTTTTAACCTATACCAGGATATTTATGAGTAAGATACATGATGTTAAATTGAAACCATATTGCATCATACACTTAAAATTTCTTAATTCTTGGTACCAAATTTTTCACTCCTTTTTTATTTTCTTAAAATAAGTAACATTCAAGAAATAAAATTACCATTATTTGAGATCTGTAGTTAGAAATTATGTGAAATTTTATATTTCACACAAAAAAAATGACAGAAAGGGGAAAGTGAGATACTAAAGATTTTTAAATGATTAATTTTTTGTATTGGATTCATAGATGAGAGGAAAAAAACACTAGATTTTTTTTTTCCTCAAAATTTGCTCCATGGGTCTTTGTAGACCAAAGTCATAAGAGGCTTGGGAATTGTCGTAACTACCAAATATTTTTCTTTATTTTCAAGGAGGCGAGGAGAATTTTTTGAACTTATAAGAAAAAATCAATTCAATTTGGAAGACCCTCATCAAAAGGAGTTATTTTTGTAAGTAGGTTTACTATCCTTAAAGAGGAAATTTTACTACCCAACTAATTTTCTCACTATCGGTTTTTATTGCAATTATCATTACAAGATGATGATCTCAGAAGTTGTCACAATTCTCCAGAGTGCTATACCGAAGGCTGAATATGAATATTTATTTGAAAAGAAATGCATTTGTGAATTCAATTCTCATAAATTGCTCCTTTATTCTAGAGGACCTTTAAAATATAGTAGAATATCAATAAAGCATAGGTACTGAAACAAGGC